AATGCTGCAGAGGAACATAGGGATGCACAAATCTCTTTGAATTGTTGATTTCCTGTTCTTCAGATAAAATGCAATCCCAGTCAGAATCCCAATGATATTCTTCATGGAAATAGAATAAAGATTCTTAAAATTTATATGGAACAGCAAAAGACCCTGAATAGCCTAAGGAATCCTGAGAAAAAAGAACAAAGCTGGAGGCATCACAGTCCCTGACTTGAGAATATACTACAAAGCTATAGTAATCAAGACAGCATGGTACTGGCACAAAAACAGACACACAGATCAATGGAACAGATTGATCCACACACCTATGGACACCTAATCTTTGATAAAAGAGCCAAGAACATACAATGGAGAAAGGAAAGTCTCTTCCATAAATGGTGTTGGGAAAACTGGACAACCATGTGCAAAAGAATGAAAGTAGACCATTATCTTACACCACACACAAAAATTAACTCAAAATGGAGTAAAGACTTGAATGTAAGACCTGAAATGATAAAACTTCTAGAAGAAAACAAAGTCAGTACACTCTTTAACATTGGTCTTAGCAGTATCTTTTTGAATACCATGTCTACTCAGGCAAGGGAAACAAAAAGAAAGAAATAAACAAATGGGACTACATCAGACTAAAAAGCGTCTGAACGGCAAAGGAAACCATGAACAAAATGAAAAGACAACCCACCAATTGGGAGAAAATATTTGCAAATCATATATTCAACAAGGGATTAATTTCCAAAATATGTAAAGAACTCAAATGACCTGATCAAAAAATGGGCAGACGATCTGAACAGAAATTTTTCCAAAGAAGACATACAGATGGCCAACAGGCACATGAAAAGATGCTCAACATCACTAATTATCAAGGAAATGCAAATCAAAGCTACAATGAGATATCACTTCACACTGTCAGAATGGCTATAATTAACAGACAAGATATAACAAATGTTGGAGAGGATGTGGAGAAAAGTGAATCCTTATGCACTGCTTGTGGGAATGCAAACTGGTGCAGACACTATGGAAAACAGTATGGAGATTTCTCAAAAAATTAAAAATAGAAATACCATATGATCCAGCTATTCCATTACCAGGTATTTATCCAAAGAATCCCCATTTCAAAGGCACAGATGCTAACAATAATTTAAAACGTCAGAGATCTACAAACATGATGATGCAGCTAATGGTAAGTATATTATTTTCATTAACAAGAGTGTTAATATTTTAGGTGATGAAAGTAAATACTTAAGTTAACTAATTCTGACTTTTACAATTACAGTCTGAAACAAATGCTTATGGAAAAGGCAGCAGTTCTAATGAGACGTGGATTTACTGTAAAGGAGCTGACTAGTGCTCAAGACACGCTGGAGACTCTGGGCTCAGCCTCCTTTATTTTAAGTGAGGACAACAGGATAAAACGAGTAATTATCAACTGTGAGATCTTACTTCTCTGAAAGTAAAAACAGCTCTGGTTAAAAGAATATTAAAAAGGAGAAACAGCTCAACTGGTACTATTTAAGGGTACATTATTCCAGTTTCCCCTGTTAATATCCTGTTTAAAAATAAATAAAGCAAGACAACAAAAAGTAGATAAATTGGACTACATCAAAATGAAAAACTTTTGTGCCTCAAAGAACACTATCAACAAAGTGGAAAGGCAACCCACAGAATGGGAGAAAATATTCACAAATCATATATCTGATAAGGTGTAATATCCAGTATACATAACAAACTCCTATAACTTAACAATAAAACAAATAACAAGATTACAAAATGGGCAAAGGGCTTGAATAAACATTTCTCCAAAGAAGACATCCAAATGCCAATAAACATGGGAAAAGATGCTCAACATCACTGATCATCAGGAAAGTGCAAATCAAAACCACAATGAGATACCTCACACCCATTAAGATGGCTGCTTTACAAAATGTGAAATGAAATAAAGAAAATAACAAGTGTCAGCAAAGAGGTAGAGAAATTGCAATACTTGGGCGCTGCTGGTGGGAATGTAAACTGTGCAGCTGCTGTGGAGAACAGTATGGAGTTTCCTCAAAAAGTTAAACATTGAATTATCATATTATCCAGCAATCCCACTTCTGGGAAAAGAATTGAAAGCAGGGTCTTGAAGAGATATTTGTATACCTATATTCACAGCAGCATTATTCACGATAGCTAAAACGTGGAAGTAACCCAAGCATCTGTGGAGGGATGAATGCATAAAGAAAATGTGATTTATCCATACATGCAATAGAATATTATTCAACCTGAATAAGGAAGGAAATTCGGACACAGGCTACAACAAGGATGAACCTGGAGGACATTGTGCTCAGTGAAATAAGCCAGACACGGAAGGACAAATATTGTATGATTCCACTTGTATGAGGTCCCTAGAGTCGTCAAAGTCACAGAGACAGAAAGTAGAGTGGTGGGTGCCGGGGGCTGGAGGAGGGGGAATGGGGAGTTAGTGTTTAATGGGGACAGAGTTTCAGTTTGGGAAGATGGAAAGAGTTCTGGAGATGATGGTGACGGCTGCCCAACAGTATGAATGTACCTAATGCCTCTGAATTGTACACTTAAAATGAATAAAATGGTCAGTTTTACATTATGTATTTTTAACACAATAAACACATGCAAAAATAAACAAAGCAATAAATAAAAGACATCTTTTCTATAAAGGGGCTGACAGAGTAAGAGTTGGGAAGAAGCGGATAATCCAACAATTAATGATGCAATCTACAGTCCACTGGAAATGAAGGTAGCAGGACACCCCACCCCAAAATCTGACTGTAGAGCTTTGGGGCATGCCACCCCCAAATGTGCTGCCTTGGTACACTGATTATTTTGAGCTGTAAACACTTAAAAAGCAGCAAATGCAGGGAGAGACCTTCTCTGAACTCTCCTCGTCTGCCTAATGACAGGTCCGCCAACAGGGACTCAGGTGTCACCAACCCCCTCCCTGGAAATTTCATCAACCAGGACGATGGACTCTTGTCACAGGAGAGGAGACCAGAAATCGACCCACACTCAGATTCCATCACAAACTGTCACGTCTCCCATCTGTTCTCCTGAAGGCCCAGTCATCTTCCCTACAAACCACTCATTCTCCCCTGAGAGGCCCACATCCCCACCCCTTTCCCTATCAGGATGGCATTTAAGCCTGAATTCTAAGCCACTTAGAGGAGTTCCTCTTTTTCCCTGGGTATCTCCTGTGTGTACGTGAGGTTCACATGTTAATAAACTTGTGTGTGTTCTTGTTTATGTCTTTTACAACAGGGTCTCAGCCAAGAACTCAGAAGGGCACAGGGAAATTATTTTCCTCCTGCACGTGAACAGCAGGGTCGTGCAGTAACACCCATCCCTGTTTCCACTGTGTGGATCAGTCACGGCTCTGTTTCCCCTGGGAATAAGCGACAAAGAGACAGTGCCTAAGCTGCTTAATGGGAAATTCAGAATTCTGTTTCTCCACCTTCTTCTTTTTTTAAAATTGGTCAACAACATGAATATTAACCAATATAATTAAGTGTTAACATGCCTTACACAGGAATCACCTGTTTTGAAGCTAAGACTTGGTCAAGAACAAGAGTTAGATGATAAGGCACTGAGTTCCCAGCACAGAGGGCTGCTGTCTCCTCGCTCACGTCTCTGAGTCTGGAGGGGTCTTGGTGTTCCTCATCCTATGACAGGGGTGAGTGGACCCAGCCGATGCCCCCAAAAGCTGACAGCACAGAACTGGGGGCCAGAGGTTCAGGAAAAGACATGGATAATCCAGAAGAAACCCCGTCTCCTGGATTCCCTCTCTGTCTGCTAATCACCGGGTCTACTGTTTGAATCCTCCCCTCGTCTTGACAGCTCAGAACAAAGAACTCAGGGCTATCTGGCTGGGACGCGGTGCTTGTGGGTACAAACTCAAACTAGCCTTTAAATTTTGTTTTACATCAGAAAAGAATAATGTCTCTCACCTGACAATATCCTTAGAGCTTGCTCCTTCAACTCTCGTGTCCAGTCACCTGTGGCTTTGTCATCTCTGCCGTCTTTAAATAACCTGCCTCTTTACAGTCTCTCCTTTATCGGCCCACACTCTGGCCACAAAACCCAACTTTTTTTTGGTGAGGAAGATTTGCCCTGAGCTAACATCCGTTGGCAATCTTCCTCTTTTGTGCTTGAGGAAGATTAGCCCTGAGCTAACATCTGTGCCAATCTTCCTCTATTTTGTACGTAGGATGCCTCACAGCGTGGCTGATGAGTGGAGTAGGTCCATGCCTGGTATCCGAACCTGCAAACATGGGCCATTGAAGCAGAACGTGCTGAATTTTAACCCCTTGGCTGTGGGGCTGGCCCCAAACCCAACATTTTAAACCACTGTCAGAACTAGGCAAGTTTGAACAAACGCGAGCAAACGTTACTTCAATTACTCTATAATGAAAGAGATGTGATAAATTGCATAACTTTCTAAAAGTCACGAAAGTTAACCAAACAAAAGCAAACTGTCCCAAAGAAGCATTGGCTTTCAGAGACACAAGGTCACTGAAGCCCATCAAGGTCTCTACCCACAGACTCGCTAAACGTGGCCACAGACTGAAGGACAGACCCTACAGTCCACGGATGGCAATCTCTGCACATTCTAGTAACGGGGTCGTTCAGCCGTGCCCTTCAGAAGCCTCGGATCAAACCAGGAGCGAAAAGAATGGCCTCCTTGAGTGCACGTGAAATGATACAGAGACAGTGCAGCCTCCACGCTGGTGCACAAGGCATGTTATACACAACGCCGCCCACACCCTCAATGGAAACAAAAGGATTTTTTCTTCAATTTTTTCAGTATGCTATAAAATTATTTTACTTTTAGATATTTACTAAACTAGCATGTGTCATGCACTTGAAAATGCACAAAAACCTTGGCAAAGTAATTCTGTGGGTTCTGTTTCCCTGATCGATTTGAGACCTTTGCAGCTGGGGGAGGAGTCGCCCTAAGTTGGGCCTGAGAGTCGTGTCATGTCAACGGGACATACCGAGATGCTGTCCTCCCGCCGGTACTGCTTCCAGTTCCTGCCGCTGTCACTGAACATCAGGAGGTAGCTGGTCACCCAGTCGGAGCTCCCGTACCCGCCCTGGGTGGCCACCGCGGTGACCTCCACCCTCTCTCCAAGGTCGATCTGCAGCCACTGGTTCTTGTCCGACAGGAGCGGCATCCAGCCCCCAGCCCCTTGTTGTGGAAGAGGAAACAGGGGAACATGGGAAGAGAAGGAAATGTTAGAATGTGTCTGCAAGGAAGTGAGACCTGGGCGAGAACGTGTGTATTTCCAAACTGAGAATAAACGCCCTCATGATTATACGTGTCACATAATGAATGACTAAACTGAATCATCTGCGTGCTCCCAGATCGGGTGACCTCCTCACACTGGAGGCCAGGTGTCCACTGAGGAGCCAGGTGCTTGGCCTGATGGGCGGACACCCAGTGGAGGACATGTACCCTTGGAACCAGTGCCCCCCTGGCCCTCATGCTGGGCTGCTCACCATCGAGCCTTTAACATCTTACAGGCCACAGGAGGGGTGCAGCTAACTTATGACGCTGCTAAACGTCTATCTAACATGCCCCACCTCTGCGTCCATGATCAGCTCTGGGGATGCAAGGATCCTAGGATCAAACCCTACTGCAAGGAGTTCCCAGACTCAGAAGAAATCAAAATCAGAGCATTTAAGCAGGATCAGGAACTCACTCAGGGGATGATGCTGCTGGTGAGGCCCATCGGGGTACATGATGGAAGAAGGAACATGGGAAATGCCCTGCAGGGCAGTGAGGGGGGCCCCATGGAGCAAACTGCACCTCAGCCTCCTCCAGATGGAGAACCAAGAGACTGCAAAGTGAGTGGGGGCGAAAGGAGGAACAGGAGCAGGAGAGCACAGAGCCCCACGACCCCCATGATCCCGGCCCTGAGCAGAGAACCTGGGGGACAGAGCGGGACCCTGTGGGGATGACGCAGAGACCAGAAGAGGGGCAGGGGTGTGACCTGGGTAGTGGAGCCCACCTCAGGCCCACACCATTAGGGCCATACCCAGGCTCAGAGGAGCGGGTGTGACGTAAAGCCAGTCTTCTGAGTCCGCACTGCGCTTCCTGGGGATAAAAGGGACCATGGTGATGGAGAGGAAGGTTTAGGGCCAGCGAGATGACAGAGGACCACAGCACATGAGGGTGCACTCACCACCTCCAACAGGAAGACAAGAAAGACAGAGAGACAGAAAGAGAGAGAGAGAGAGAAAGACAGAGAGAGAGAAAGGAAGGGAGGGTAAGAAGTGGGAGGGAAGAAAGAAAGAAAGAAACAACAGCAAACACTCAAGACTCTGAAAGTGGCTGGGCCGACAGGACTGGGCACTGTTCAGCTCAGAATCCATACAGTGCCCAACATACCAAAATGAGTAAGATGAAGGTAAAACCCACACAGAATTATTGCAGAAAATCAGGAAACAAATATTCACAAAAATTGAGGAAAACCCCTACTCCCTAAAAACAGCCACAAAGTGAAAGGAAACTCTGTGAAAAATGAGCTATCCTCAAGCAAGCCTTTGAGGGCTGGAAATACCACCTTGAATCAGAAGTTCAAAACTAAGAACAGAAATGGACCAAAAAATGGAGCAATAAAAAAATGATTGAATTCAGGAAATAAATGGAAGGAAAAGACAAAGTTATCTTCAAAATAAAGAATAAATAACACTGCATACATATTAGAACGGCCAAAATCTGGAACACTAACACCACCAAATGCTGACAAGGATGTGGAACAACAGGAACTCTCATTCATTGCTGGTGGGAATGCAAAATGGTTCAGCCACTTTGGAAGACAATTTGGCTGTTTCTTACAAAATGAAACATACTCTTACCGTACGATCCAGCAATCATACTCCTTGGTATTTGCCCAAAGAAGTTGAAAACTTATGTCCACACAAAAACCTGCACATGGATGTTCACAGCAGCTTTATTCATAACTGCCCAAACTTGGAAGCAACCAAGATGCCCTTCAGTAGGTGAATGGATAAATAAACTGTGGTCCATGCAGACAATGGAATATAAAAGATATAGAGGAATCCTAAATACATATTATTAAGCCAAAGAAGCCAATCTGAAAATGCTACAAACTGTATGATTCCACTATACAACATTCTGGAAAAGGCAAAACTATAGAGATAGTAAAAAGATCTGTGTTTGCCAGAGGTGAGGAGGTTGGGATGAACAGGTGGAGCACAGAGGATTTTTAGGACATTGAAACTACTCTGTGTGATGCTGTAATGGTGGACACATGAGATTACGCATTTGGCAAAACCCATAGAGTGTACAACATCAAGAGTAAACCCTAATGTAAACTATGGACTCTAGTTAATAATAATATATCAATAATGGCTCATCAATTATAACAGATGTGCCACACCAATGCAAGATATTAATAATAGGGGAAACTCTGCATGTGTGTGTGTGTGGTGGGGGTATACGAGGGAGTATGTGGGAACTCTAGTTTCTGCTCAATTTTACTGCAAACCTAAACTGTTCTAAAAAAGTAGTCTATTACTTAAAAAAATAAATTGCATAGTGACCAGTAACTCAATATATTATAGAAGTGAGAGCCAGCTTTCTCCCTCTTGGAGGAAGGAATCACTTTTCTAAACAAGGAAAGAGGGATGCTGAAATGAACTCCAGGGTTGGGTTGGAATCAGAGGGATCAGTATACGTTGTGGTTTTAATGTACGTATGGATAGATACAGAAATACAGTTACATGTGTGTCCACATGGCTTAGTATTATATGTATATTTCCTAAATCTGTCTGCCTTGAGGGCTTGGAAGCCAGGCCCTCAGGAGCAATGAGCACATGCTGCGCCACTCTCCAGCAGAGCCACCCTGGGGTCCCTGGAGAAGTGGCTGATTCCAGTGAAAGTGCAAGACGGGCTTAGAACATCTTGAGTGCCAAAAAGTAAGGAAGTGCTGAAAAAAAGGGAGACTTGTCAAACGAACACAGGAACCAACGTGAAGGGTGGCCAACACTGGAACAACTGAAGCAGCACAATTAAAAACAGATTTTATGCCACAGAATAACATGACTATCCATGAGTCCCACTGATACAAATAAATGAATAGTCAACGCATGCTTGCGAGGAAGGGACAGTTCCTCCTCATGGAGAATTCCCACTGATGCATCAGTAAAGAGGGAATCGTCTTAGGCGCACACCACAGTAATGGGCACTGCAGACCAGATCCACGGGTGGTGCTCACGGTGGTGGGTGGAAGTTTGAGGAGAAACCACATTTGCGTGTCTCAAAGTGTCTCCCCCAAGTGGCTTATCACCAACAAGAGATCCAGGTCGACATCATTATTCTCAGACAAATCCACATCATGGCCCGTCATAGGACACACGGAGCAATGACAGCATTTCTGAGGTGCTCTTGCCAAAAATCCATAACCTCGCTCAGTCTAGAGAAAACATGGTACAAATTCAAACTGAGGAAGATTCTACAAAGTCGCTGACCAGAGCTCGCCGAAAAGTGTGACAGTCACAAAAGACAGGAGACTGAGGAATTGCTGGGGACTGGAGGTGACTATGGAGGGAAAACCAACTAAGGCACTGTGGGGTCCAAGGCAGCCTCTTGGAATGGAGGAAGGACAGTGAAGGAGCTCTGCAAACGCACTGAGCTCCGCCATTTAGTCTGTACTTTTGTGCCGGTGTCCCTTCCTGACTTGACCATTGAGTAAGACAGGGATATCGAAGGAGACACTTCCTACCTTTTTTGAAACTATTCTATAAGTCTATAATTAGTTCAAAATAAGAAGTTTAAATAGTGTGGGACAATAAGGCAGATGTTAAGAACTCTGGGCTGGTAGGAAGCATGGACTCATCACCACTACCCAAGGCCATCACAAACAGATACGAAAGTCCACCAGGCAGAGTGAAAATGGAGAAACTGAAGCTTCCCAGAAGATAAGGCCTGTGCTGACACTGTCACTGCCCACGACGCCGTGGCCAAGGCCGCGTTTTCCTGTGTTGAAGCTTGGAGAAATAGTGGTCTTCTCACTGCTAGTAAAACACTGTAATTCTGTAAGTTCTACACAAACAAGATGTAATAATTCATCTCGGACGATTCTTTTAAACTATCATCCTGGGTCCCAGTGGGGCCTGCGCTCGGGAAGCCTGGGCAGCTTTCAGAAGTCACATCTATTCTGTCCTCCCTGCTTGGCTGCCCCCAAATCCCAGAGAGCCCCCACGATCCCACTTAGAGCCCCCAGCACATGTGGTTCGCCCCCTAGAGTGTGTGAAGTCTCGCATAGTAATGAAATCCCCGTCCTCGACCACAAGAACCTTAACAACAGATAGTACAATGTAGGGGAGGAAAATAACTTCCCTCTACCCTTCTGAGACCCCTGTAATTAAAGATTAACATGAGAAAAACAAACAGAAGTTTCCTGATATGTACCTGGGGTACACGCAGGGGAGACCCAGGAAAATACATAACTTCTCCAGGGGTTCTAAACCACCAGGTTAAATACCACCTTCAGCTAAATCAAAGAGAGCAGGGTGGGCTGGCCCCGGGGCTTAGTGGTTAAGTGCACGCACTCCGCTACTGGTGGCCCAGGTTCAGATCCCGGGCACGCACCGATGCACTGGTCATCCAGCCATGCTGAGGCCGCGTCCCACACACAGCAACTAGAAGAATGTGCAACTATGACATACAACTATCTACTGGGGCTTCGGGGAGATAAAGGGAAAAAAAAAAAGGAGGAAGATTGGCAATAGATGTTAGCTCAGGGCCGGTCTTCCTCAGTAAAAAGAGGAGGATTGGGGCTGATCTTCCTCACACACACACACACAAAAAGCAACTTTAAAGAGAGCAGGGTGAGGGGCAGTTCTGGGGGGACCAGGGGGAGCAGGTCACAGGGTGGGCTGTGGTGTGGGTTCAGGCCCTGCCGTCTCCACTGATGAGGGTCTCGTGGGTGCACCATCCTCCTTGTCTGGGTGCAGAGAGGGAGACACCCCTACAAATGCTGATTTCCTTTATTGACGTAAAGTTCTCTTACAAAAGGGCAACTTCTACTCTGTTTTCAGAGCTTCTCCTGCATCTGGTGATTCTCAAAATAATCAGATCAAAATTATCCTCATGCCAAAGAGGCACATTTTGGGGGCATGTCCTGCTCCTCCTCAACAACCACGGAGGTGGGTAGGACA